GGTTCTTCATTTATCCCATGAGCAGGAGAGCACCACTGAGGGATGCAAAGACTTCTACAACTACCTGGAAATACAGCCACAGTGGTGCAAGGGCTCACCCGCCTCTGACCTTGAAAAACTGAAACTGTTCTTTAACAATACAACTAGAAAAAAGGCAAATGGGAATACAAACACCCTCTATACACAGACAACATAGCAAAATGACTGGGTGGAGAACTAAGAGCAGGATATTCCCTGATGTCCTCACAGAGCTCTGTGTAGTGCTCATGCTCACTTCCCCATACAGACATCATTTGGTTCTGAAGCCTCGGAACACCATAGATTCTGCTGTAACCATGGGATGCTACAAGCTCTAGAGCCTATGACCCAACTCCATAGACTTCACAGAAAAGGAAAGAATTAACAATTTAGCACTGTCTGGCTATAAACACCAACTAAATGCATAGTTAAAAAAACAGAATAAGCAAATGCAGATGAATATATATCTAAGCATCTACTTTGAAAATGCATTAGCACATTAGCATTCCTTACTTGAATACAGAGAGACTACAACCTTATTTTACAAATACTAAAGAATTAACAAAATACCCAATTTCCTAATCATCGCAATACTCTAAATCTCCAAGGAGACAGGCAGATTATTAAGTGAGGAGGTTAAAATGGCTTGCTTTAGAGAAAACCAACACAAATGGGTTCCCAAACCCTCGTGTACTAAGCCAGCATTGGCCACTTGACACACATGCACAGCGTGTACTTAACACCCACTCTGGCATATCTCTCATTGAGACAACATCATGCAAAACATACCACACTAGGGTTGTGAGGTTATTGGGACACGGAGAACTTGAACTTTTATATTTCCTGACTTGGGCAGGCTAGGTGGCTGGGGGAACTGAGCTAAAATTTTCTACTAATGTTATCTCTAACCAGGTTTCTGCATTTTAAGTTCATGGAAGGTCAGATGGGGGAGATTCTCTAGGATTAAGGCCAAAAAAGAAAACCAACTTTCCTGCAGTTCACAGCAACTGAAAACCAGGTAACTGACGTGTCAAAGGTCACATATTTCTTTCTAAGCAAAATCAGCCCGAATTCCTGATGTTCAGGGCTTTGCAGAGAAAGAAATATTTAATTTTTATCTTATCAGAGGGGGAAAGCATTCTACCACTAAGTATGTCCCCAGTCCAAGATGTAGGAAATAATGCATCTTGTTCAAAGTTGAAAATCATTTTAAAAATCGATATCTAAGTTGAAAACAGTGAGCATTATGGACTTTCAGGATTTGTTCTATCACCGAGGGAGGGGACAAGCATCAGAAGCTAATGTGGTCAGACGGAAGATTGCCTGTGGATAAGCGTCTGGGTTACCAATAGCAAGTTTTACAAAATACTTAAGCTTTATCTCGCTTTTTTTTTTTTTTTAACTCAAAACATTAAGAATATTTATCTTTGGGTTGCAAAGATTGCTCAGGGGTTAGAATCCTGCCTGATCTTCTAAAAGACCTGACTTCAATTCCCAGTGCCCACATGGCATCTAACAACTCTGTATTCTACTTCCAGGGAATTCAAAACCATCTTCTAGCCTCTGTGGGTGCTGCATGTACCAGGTACAAACAAGCAAAATACACATATTCATAAAATTAAAATAAATAAATATTTTCCAAACATAATCTTTGTTAAAATAAGTAAAATTGAAAAGCATACTGATCTCCTGGCCATCCACATTAGTTGGTGATATAGAAAGTGAAGGTTCATTCTGACCTCATATTTAGTGAGTAGTAAAGACAAGAAACCCTAAATGAGTTAGATCACACAGAGGTAAGATTCCAACTGCCAACTTCAGGTAAAGCATTTGATTCTATCATGGAATCACAATCACTGTTACAGTCTGAATGCCTCTTCCCCTAATGTGTTTATTGGGAGAGAGGCTGGGTATAAAGTGGGTGGGTCATAGGCAAAGAGCCTTCATACATGTCTCAAGCACCTGGCCCTGCTTTCATCTCTTATACACACGCTCACTCTTTTTATCTGTCCACTGTAGTATTATAAGCAGTACAGGTCTCAATCTTGGACTTCAAACTTCCTGAACTATGAGATAAAACTTATTTGTTTTCTGTATTAATTACCCAATCTCAGATGTTCTGTTGTAGCAACAGAAAAGAGATGAAGACACTCAATCACCTTCACTGGTAATAGGCAAACAAAACTTTAGCTGTCACCAAAACTTATTTCCACAAATCATTCCTGTAACTCTGAAGATACTTACTGCAGCAGACATAGATCTATACTTTTCAAAATGCCTAGAGTTCACAGATATATGCTCATGTACATATGGTTTTGCCTCCCCAAATCCTAGAGATTGATGTTTTCAGGTGAGAGAATATAAGTGTAGACTAGTTAAAATGACTTGCTTATGGTAGGTGGGTCTGGTTCTAAATGTGGGACTTTCTGACAGCTGTCTTGTCCATTTGTCTAAAATGCAGGACTGTCAGTGCTTGTATTAGATCACTGATGTGCAAGAACTTAGCTCCTAGAAAATCTAAAATCTTACAGCTGCTCAAAGACCAGGGGCTGTGTGTCCTGACATCCCATGCCTAGGATAGGTTACAGTTTGATTCCTGCTAATCAGGTATTGACACATTCAACAACATGGTCGAATCATGGTTAGAGTTGTGAGCAAAGCAATCATTATAAAAATAGTCATCAAAACAAGGGCAGAAGATTGCTGTGGTCTTCGGAGAAAGGCAGCGCCTCACTTCCTTCCGCAGGGACCATGCCCTTCCAACCACTTCTGTTTCTTGACACGAAGGAAGTTCTCTAAAGTTGCTGCTTCTCCTTCCAGGGTAGGCTACTACTTTGTTTTCCTAGTAAAATCTTGCCTCTCCCTTTCTGAGTCTTAAACTCTCACCTCTCTTTGAAACATCAAGAGTCAGGGTAGAAACAATCCCCAGCCCAGGCAGAACATGTTTGTACCAACTTCCCATGTACTCAGTACTTTCTTGGTCTAATTCTATATATTCCCTGTGTCCCCTGCCTGGCTACCCATTGAACTGCAGACCTACCCTATCACTCCTCCAATAGGAAGGTCTTTAAAAGTTACAGCTTGATCCATGATTTCTCTGTTCTCAGTTGAGGACACACAAGCATGTAGTCTTCCTCACTGACACAGATTTGCATGCACCAGCACTTATGCACAATGGAAGATGAACTCTGTCGTCTTCTAGACTCAAAAATACTAATTGAATCTGGGGTGCTTTTAATGAAACAGTAACACATAGTTCCAGTAGAGTAAGTAGAGCTGTCATGCTGGCCCCCAACATCCAGGCCAAGATGGACAAAGAATCAGAGGCCAGGTTCAGTAGGATTCGTAAAGTGATGGAGTTCCTAGCATCTCAGCCTGCAAGGGTCAAATGCAGGCCCAGGAAACTATCACCTATTCATGCTAATGAATTTGGGATCAAGGGTGCTTGTTGTACTTAGCACTGTCTCCAATGCTCCATTCCAGCTTCTCAAGGCTACACCATTGCTCAATGTGGATGCTGCCATTGAGGTGAGCTATAATTGTTTATCTCTCTTAAAGGGTTAAAAAGAAACCCTGTGATGCAGGTTGGTGGATAAAGATGCTTCTGCAGAAGTCTGAAACCTGAGTGAGATCACTGGAACGCAGAATGAAAAAAGAAACCTGACTCCTGGAAGATGTCCTTTGACTTAAGTGTACAAGCACATGCCCACACCCATGCACAGACATCACACACACACACACACACACACACACACACACATGCACACACACACACACACATGCACACACACACACACACGAAGGAAAGGAAGAAGGGAAGGGAGGGAGGGAGGTAGAGAGAGAGAGAAAATAAATTGTAGGCATATATTTTAGAGGGAAAAAGATAAATAGGATAAAATGATGTCAAAGATGTATTCAGTTATAAAATCACAACAAACTGGCCTCGGTAAACAAGAAAGACAAAGTCGCTCTGTTCAGTGAGGCTTTAGGTCTGTACTGTCCGATGGGGGAAAAGTACATAAACTGAATGTGAACATAGACCACTTGCAATGCAGCTGGTCCAAACAGAAGAGAGATCTCAGGGTAGAAAATGCACACTAGACTGCTGAGACAGTATGAGGACATGGTTATGAACTGTCTTGGGAATTTTTATATTTAACATGTATATTTTTTACATAGAATAAGCACATTTTAGATATACTGGGTTAAGAAAATACTAGAATTCATGTCTCTTTACTTGGGTATTGGGTATTGGTTGGTCTTCCACTCCTTGTTTAAGATAGTTTCCACTGGCCTAGGGTTTCAACTCACAGGCTGGATAATCTCACCGAAGAGTTCCCTTCTGGGAACTGCCAATACCTCTGGAGATCAGATCTCCAGCTTGCAAAGGAAACACTTTATGAAGTCACCTTCTCCACACTTGACATTGTGTGTGTATGTGTGTGCCTGTACATGTACATGAGTACATGTATGTGAAGGCCAAAGGTTGTAACCAGTGTTTTCTGTATCTCTCCCTGAATCTGGGGCTCAATAATTTTGCTAGACTCTCTGAGCAATGAACTCTGAGGATCAATTTATCTGTAGGTCCCTAGTACTGAGATTATAGATATGTGCCTGTTCTAGTTTTTGCATGGATGCTGGGCTCCTGAATTCTGGTCCTTGCCCAGCAGGCACTTTACTGACTGAGCCATCTCCCTAGACTTTAGGTCTTAAAAAGAGCTTTCCTGTGGACACCCAGCCTTCATGTTTCACAGTAGGACTGGAAAATAACAAGGTACCTTCAGCCATTGGCTTAGCCAGTTTTGATTACTGCAGACTCACATGCTCTTCCTGGGGATACCAGCAACTCCAGAGAAGCTCACAAGTGTTTACATTTTTGCTTCAGAATCCTGTGTTTGCATTTCAGCTGGCCCAACCACTGCTGTAACACACACTGCATTTGTTTTTAATTTCTCCAAATAATGCAGAAAAAAAAAACTTACAGGTTTTGAGATGGTGAGTCTGCTGCTGGAATACACAGGTATTTAACTCCCTGTAGAAAGATAAAAAAAATGTATATAAATAAAACTAAAAATATGATACACAGTGAAGTAAAATATTTAAGGGAAGCATTTTCTCAGGTCAAAAAACAAGAAAATAAAAAGGAGAAGTTTTTATTCATCTTTTGTTGCCAAGGAACCGAGGAAAAACTCTTTAATTCAGGTTCCTGATTCTCCTACATGGACATGTCAATATTCAAGCTTCAATCTACAAGCAGCATACATTTGAGCACTTCAGTGTTAAAGCTCACAGCCCATCTTAGCACTTGTTCTCACACTTTCTATGTTTCTTCTGAATCCTGAATATCCCCAAAGGAAGCACCATTAGTCAGCACCTTAAAAAGGGCTGAAAACTTTGATGTCATTCCATAGACTTTTATATCAATTTTAATGCTATAAGAATAACATTTCCTCTGCTAGGCCTTTGGAACCTGGAAACGATGCTGCTTGCTTTGCAGAACACTATAAGTTTACACAATAAACTGATTCGAGGGGGGAAAACTCCCCAAAGTAATGATTTTAAATCATGCTAAACTGGAGTTTCATAGAAAGAAACAAAATTGGTTCACTTCTCTACAAAGATGGTCATTGTAGTTCTAAAGTCTTCCATGTCAACCAACACACCGCACACAGATCTTGGCAATGGAATGTGGTAAAGGATAGACGAACCATTCGTGAACTTTCTTATATCTGCCAAACATCATAGAATCTTGTCACTATGCCTTGGACAGCCAGAGAGTACTAATTAGTGTGAGAGGTCAGCTTGATTCACAATGATGATACAGATGTAGCCAAGTTCCCTGGGAGAGGAAATTACAAAGCAACCTGCATTTTAGATTTACTTGAAGTCTTTCTGTAACTTTCAGTGTTGATCTGGTCACCCTGGAGGGTCACTGAAGCTGTAACTAGACAGCTACAGTACATGGATCTTGCCTACCCACTCCAATGCTTGGGTGCAGGCTCAGGACCTTCTAGTTCTGGTAAGCTTACAGAAGGCAAGTTCTGAACTAGTGGAAGGAACAGCATGACAGCTCATGCTTTGCTGGTGCAGGTGGAGGCAGAACACAATGGACAGTTGTATAATGAGAAAGATGAGCTGGTCCTGGGACTTGAGCACAGAACCCATTTCTTCAGCTCCTATGAGCAAACTCTAAGCCTCCAACTGCCTCTTAATCTTCCCCTTTCTGCTGAAGCTGGCTCAGAATGTGATATGTGGTCAGCAAATAAATATCTGAATAGTACAACACTCTTCCTTGCCATTTGCCATTATTGGGGGACAACATCATGAGAAAAGAACTCAAAAGTAAAAATCATATTTCCCTTATCATTTCTGTGCAGCTTTTCAAACTGAAAAAAAGAGCCAAATTATTTAACCAAGATTTGACAGAAAATAATTACATATGGCAGTATTGTATCTTTCTATATAGGTTTCTGAGTCTTTGGGAAGACGAGTTTTACCTCTGTTTATCTAAATAGGAACATTTCTCCCAAGAGCAAATGGACTTTGCAAAGAGTAGAGGATCTATCTGCTGGCAGGAAAGGGAAGGGAGGACGTGGGCTCTCTCTTGTATGATTACACTTGCCAGCCAGCTCCTTCTGCTTCCCTTCAGGGTTCCTGAGCTCTGGAAGCTGTGCTATGCTGGGAACGTGAACTAGTTATTTTAAATCCAAATCTGGTGGCATATGAGAGTTCAATTTGAAGGGTAAGACACTAGAAAAGGAAGAACTTCTGCCAAACAGTCCTTTCCCTCCTCTCTTCACTAAGATGAACAAGCCTGTTGTTAAATCCACAGGACCATTGCTTCCTATAGCTGCCATGGGAGTGCCTCTTTTTTGGGGGGGAGGGACTCTTGAGTGAGATCTGACAGTTAGGTGGTTAGGCCCAAAGCTTGTGAAATCCTTCCCACATACTCCCTCTGTCCTCATGGCAGGGCATGCTTCCAGAGGTCAGGATTCTCAAGTGTGCTACCACCACCTCAACCTGGCAACTCCAAACAGACAAAACGCTAAGTGGACACTCAGGACAGCACAGAAACACCTACATCTCCCTTATGTGACGGGCAGCCACCACATTCCAGTAGAAGCTAAAGTCAGTCTAGCCTATGTACTGGGAAGATAAATAAAAATAGAGAATGAAGAGAATGGGAAGAGGTTAGGCAAAATAGCGCATTGCTTACTAAGAGCACATGCCCTGAACACCTGTTATGGCAGGAATGGGAACCACTGTGCTTCCTTTAGGCTATGCCACACAGGGCCACACTCACCTCTGTGCTACCCGATGCACAGAAGGAATAAGCTTGGGCCCACAGAGTAGAACCTGCCCAGCACTCAGGAAAACCTATCAGCCATAGGAAGCAGGTGGAAGGCATTCTCTGTGTGTGAGCCACAAGAATAAGGAAGTAACATGCTGCCGGTCCAGACTTCTTGCCCTCACGCTCAGATGGACAGGTGGCAGCTTCAGCTTCCATCTCAGGCATCTTGTAAAGATGAACATGTGGCTCTGAACTGCATTTGAGTACCCTGTGCTATTAAAGCACAACAGAAAAAGACAAGACAATGCAACATCAAAGACTGTGTGCATAACCACAAGAACAGTTAACTTCCTGGAATGATGCCTGGCATTCACTCAAAGTCTGAGTGCTGAGGAAAAGTGCTAATCAGCTCCATAAAGATGGTGGCATGAGAAGAGTACCGGGTGTGTGTATGTGCTTTTAAGTGCCATCAGGGAAGGGGGAGAGCTGGGTTTTGGGCCATGCAAAGGGCACATTTTCTACATATGCTCTAGTGACACTCAAACAGAACACAAACCACTTCACTATGACCTACAATAAGAAATATGCAAATCCAGTCATGGAAGGAGTCAAAACTGTCAAAAAGGCTTAGCTGCTCGCCCCCAAGACCATCTATTTATCATGACTTAGTCATTAACAAAGCACCGATATCTTTGAGGCCACAGAAGGCAGAACTACAGCTACCTAAAAAAGGTGTCAGATGCCTGCACATGTGCACAGCTTTTAACAGTTAGTTACTAATTCAGAAAGCAGCACTAAGACCCCTGTGCCACCAGAACACTGGGCTGACTTAAAATCACCCTTGCACTAATGTGTAGAATAGACGTTTCCTCTCTCTGATCTATACAGAGAACTGTGCTCTGGAAAGCTTTGCAGAGGGACATATGAGGAGTAGGGTATGTTTACTTGCATTATGGAAAGCATAGCAAAAAAGGAGTTAAAAAAAGGACGTAAAAACTTCCATATCTGAAAAATGTATCAGTAGTAAAATTAGCAACAGTGTTTCCAGGAGTATAGCGTTTGCTATATATATTTTCTGCCTCATATTCCCTCTAATATTTTGAAACATATAAAAATAAACTTGATTTTCTGTTCCTTGAAATAAAATTCCCACAAAATAAAGGAAAATAAAAATTGAGCACTTCCTATAGTGTTTCAGAATAGTGGGCTGGTGGGAAGCCAGTTAACATTTATGGAGCTATTAAATATCAAGTCACAACTTTTCAAATCACAGAGCAGTCAGTTTCATGTTGCCTTGAAACACACAAATTGTTAGTGACTTGCCTATGCTTTAGGAGTCCCAGTTGCTATAGGAACATAGGGAGAGCTCATGTCTTTGTCCTGTGTGGCCTTCTGAGAGGCCCAACATAACCAGGTGAACCGATGGGGTGGCACCATAATGGAGATGAGGGCAGGTGCAGACTCTCAGTGCCCACAGCAGGCGACTGCACATGCTAGGTGTTCACCACTCCAGGAACCACATGGAGCAAAAGCCAGAAAACACAGGACAGGAGTACAAAAGTCATGAGGGATCTGCCCAGAGGAGCTTCCTGCTGAAATTCTTGTATTTGGGTTTTGAAATTACGTCAATAGACAACACTGGGTCAAGAAGAAAGTTCAGAGAGAAATGACATCAACAGATATCACTGGGGAAGAAGAAAGTTCAGAAAGCACACTAGAGGCTTGATCTGAATAAGGCAGACTGTCACATTCTCAAAAGTTCCACAATTTTTCAGTTTTCTGTTTCAGCAAGTATAATAACCACTGAAGGTAGGTTTTTGCCTTTCTTTGGACTGAAACTAAAAATTACACTTACAATCACAGACAGGCACATATCTGAGAAGAGGGGACCAAGCTTCTGATCACAAAACCAGGAAAGAGGTCAAACTTGCTTGTTTCAAGTGTAATTTCTAAAACTACCCCCACATGCCCAGACATAGGAAGTCTGCTGAGAATCCAGCTGTGCACAGTCATTCTTTTTCTCGAATGGAAGCTAAGGTAGAGTACTTATGAACAGAACTGTGTCTCACATTCACAGCAGCATGGCCAGGCCTGAGGACATTACAGACTGTACATAGAATCTTCCTTACATACAGGACCTAAAGCTGTACTCACATGGGTGGCCTAGCAGATGTTAGAACAGGGACCGTCATGGGGAGGGAGGGATGTGGAGATGACTGGCAATGGCAAAAGGGATGTTGGTGACAACTATCTCAGAATAAGGCAGGGAAGCAGAGGTGGCAACAGCAGAGAGAGAAGGTGACACAAGCTGCTGACTTGATTACTGTACTTTATATACACATGGCAAAAATATGTACAAATACTATGTACCTGTGTTTAAAAAAAAAAAAGAACACAACTGAACCTTGTAGAAGTATTAAAAACAAATGGAAGAGAGTAAGTTCTGGAAGGAGCTAGAAATCCACACAATGGAAAAGTTATTTTAGCTGCCAGAAAAGGGTCACTATTAGAGATTAGTACTAGAGACAGGATGGGTGAACCAATGGGTTTCCTCCTACAAAGACTGCATCTTTTCTTTGATGAACAATCCATTCAGATTTCCAGGTCCAAACATACAAGTCCTAATGAAACAAGGATAGAATAAGCCTGTATCCCTACCAAGAACTAATTTTACCATAGGCCTAATTACCAATTCTTCACTCCCAGGAAGAAAAAATAAAATTAAAAGCAAAATTAAAATT